AAGCCATATGAAGAAGGTCGGACTAGGCACATTCATACATACATAACATACACAAATAACACACATATAGAGAGAAAGAGACTGAGAGACTGAGGTGGAGGGAGGGAGGGCAGGAGAGAGAGAGAGAGAGAGAGAGAGAGAGAGAGAGAGAGAGAGAGAGAGAGAGAGAGAGTCCCAACAAAAAAAATTCTTGCCAACCCCTCAGCACCTTCACTTATTTTTTCCATGACAACACTTTTAAACACAGCTATCCAGCAGGGCAGGGTATGGAAGGACTGTATGTGTGTTCAAATTAAATATTTCATTGCTCCTTTCTATAAAGGTGAAGTTATGAACTGAAGTTTCAAATCTGGCATGGCGCTGATGTCAATATTGTTAAGGGAAAGAAGAAAACTGGAAAGTTCCTATTCTAACCTGTTTGAAGTAAAGGTAGAAAGTTGCCTGTGCAAATCAAATAAAGCAAAGAATTTGGAAACTTCAGTGGCAAGGGAGGTGGAGTTATAAACACATATACATATGTGGGTATCTATATACACATATATATCACATATATATATATTTAATAAATTGGAATTATCTCAGAGTCAGACGATGGATATGACATACTCTCAATAAGTCCTAACCCCCACTCCCCCGTTCCTCAAACCTCCTTCTTCCCCTCCCCCATTTTTTTCTTTCCAGAAGACAGAGGATGCCCGATGCATCTTGCACTGTAGTGCAAACAGACCCCAAAAAGGGAGGAAGATAAAATGAATTTAAATTCCAAAGGGGTTCCAGTGCTGGTTTCCTAGTCCCCGAGTCAGCAATGTGTTTGTGAAAATTCAGGCTTTTTGTCTCTTAGAAAAAAGGAGCTAAATCTACATCGGTGGCCCAGTCTCGGTTTGCTATTCTTTGCATTTTCTATTCAAGTGAATGAGAGTGAATGAAGTGGCCCAGGACCTTTTATTTGATCTACTCACTTGCATAAAGTGACAGAATTCTAATATATTTGTTTAATGCTCTTCAATGGGCTTTCACTTTCTTGCTTGCAAATGAAGCCTCCGTGTGCAAAGTTTTGTTCCCCTCTGGCTCAGGGACATATTTCATAACTTGGGCCGAGGTTTGAAGTGATCTTGAGAGGAGTTTTAGCCTCAAAAAGTGGGAAATAAAGAAACAGATGTGAAGTTATTGTAAATTCCTATAGTGGGCTCTGGGGCTATTGTGAGCCCACTGCAGGCGGTCCAGAGCCTCTCCCTTTCATGCTGTAATTGAAACATATTAATTAGATAATTTGTTGTTAGTTTAAACGAAACAAATACATCCCCCTTCAAGGCTTCAGAGCCACTGGGGTGGAGATTTTTTGGTTGTTGTTTTAGTTTTGTTTTCTTGGGATGTCCATGTGTATGTGTTTTAAGGTTTTATTAATGACATTTTATTAAGACTTTAAGAACTAATTCTTGGAAAGAACTGAATCCCTAGTCACTTCTGCTCCCTAGAGTGATAATTTACAAAGGGATCTTTCTATTTGTAAAGGTATAAACAGCAATCCTCCCCCCTCCCTTGCATAGTCTAATGTAAAGACTCTTTTTCTTCTTTCTTCCCCCTCCCCCAGCCCAGCCAAGCACCTGACCAGACTCGGTCTCCCAAGACACAATCACTTTTCTCACAAGCAATGCAAAGGGAAAAGACACACCACCAACACAGCATTAGTGTAATTCTAGGGACCATTCACCAAGACGACTTCCTATTCCTGAAAATCGAGGCTTCACACACACACACACACACACACACACACACACATACACACACACACACACAGAGACTAGATCTTAGCAACCAATAACTTTAATACAGTAATCATAACAGAATGCCCAAAATGACTAGAGGATTGTTTTAAAATACCTTTTAGCACCAACTAATGTTAGAAAACGCTCTCTAGCAAGGGTCCCAGATCAAATCCTCTTGTTTACCTGACATAGAACTTGCAACAATAATAACAGCAACAACTCCTTTCAGTACTCGGTATAGGACTACTATTAACTTTCCTTTTTGTACACACACACACACACACATACACACCCTCAGTGTTGTCTTTTCCAGTTTTATTTCAGATCTGTGTTTATTGACTTTGGACTTGAGCCAAGTAAAGAGATTTAACGAGACAAAGCAGTAAATTGTAGTCACTGGAGATATGAACTTGCTAACTTGATGTATTTTAGATAAACAGGTCTCATTTCCCAAGGCAGGAGGAAATGGATGCTTACTTCTACCTTTGGATTTCTGGTTATAGATAAAAACAAAACAAAACAAAACAAACTATCAACCCATTTATTACCGTATGTGTGCAGAATCATCTCACCAAACTGTGATAAGTTAGTTCTTTGTTATAGAAAAGTTGTTGTATTTCCTTATGTGCATAATAACACATCCAAAGAACATAAGATTTTAAAAATATGAATTGAAATTTCTTTGATGGGTTTCAAAATTATAATATTATCGTGTCTCTGTGAATGTTTACACATTCACATGGAATATGTTTATATTGACATGACTCTTCACATGCTGTCAGTATAGGGAAGCTAAAGGTGAATCTGCTAATGGGAATGTTTACCTGCTGAAAATCTCCAGAGATAAATTTTTTTAAATCACCAAGGCCCCAACTGTGGCCACTTCACATACCCTCTTAATAGCCGGGGGATGAACTCAGGCAGTCTGTATTCAACTTTTCTGAATTTGATGAGATTAGCACTTTCCTAGGGATATTCTTCTTTTGGTTTTGAAGGGAACTGTGGGGAAGTAAAAAGCACTTAAGGAAAATGTAGGTCATTTCTTGTTTCATAAAAAGTTTTGAGAGTTTTACATCCTAGGATCTAAAAAGTTTCCAGTGCTTTCTTGAGCTGATCTTGTTGATATAATTGTGAGTTGGACTTGATGAATGAATTCAGTTGTCCCTTGTCTGACAAGCTTTAGTAGCTTCATGCATTTTAATCAGTCCAATGATTCATTTATTTTCCACCTTTTTTTTTTTTTTGGCTGTGTGTGGGATCCATGCTTTTAAAAATTGGTTGCAATAGGATTAATTACTCTATGTTGATCTTAAACTTCTTTTTTGAAGCACACTTCTGAGTAGCTGGTAAGCATAGATTATTCTTTTCTGAAGGCTATAGAAAATTGTGTTATATTACATGTGTTTTCAGTGTGGGAACTGCACTAAGTAATTTTGCTTGAAAGAGTTATATGTTACGCCTCAAAGTTTCCAAGAATGTAATTCTCAAATGTTAACAAGCATTTAAGCATCTTTGAATGCACACCCATTTCTCGAAATGGGGCAATACCTTCAATAAATTGATTTCAATTATCTTGGAGTGATAAATTCCATATGATATTACCTTCAGAACCTAGAGAAGTGAAAATATTTGGAATCAGACTCTTAGGGGAACTAACATGCATTTCTTGAGAATTAAATTCATTAAACATTGTTTTTCCAGGTAGAGAAATTAATCCAAATATTTTCAGTCCAAAGTTGATCATTTTCTTTACAAATGTGTTGAGCTATTTGGGCTATTCTGAAAAAGAAAGTCTCAGGGGCTATCATAATTTATTTTAAAATGATATTTAAATCTGACTTCAATTGGGATGCATAAAGAGTATGTCTGAATTTACCCTGATAAAATGGCTACATTGTCTCTCTCTGAGGCATTTTTAAAATTTTACATGCATATTATTTTGCATATCTTGAGATATCTGAAGATAAATGTCAAATAGAGGAGATACCATATACCTTCAATGACTTTTTTTCTGTTACACCTGTGTACTTGTGCTGGTACTACACACAGACCTTGTATGTAGGAACACCTTTCAGAGTCTGCCTGAAAAATATCTTTCCCAAAGGTAAGTGCAAAGGTGGAAGGAATTCAAGCTACAAACAAACAGGAAGTGGGGAAGAAATTCTGCATCTGTGATATCCCTTAAAAAGGGTATCAAAGGATCTACATTTCTCAAAGTGTTCTTATTTGAGGCAACTACTCAAAAAGACAAGAAACTAAATATGAATTTACATATTTTAATGAGAAAATATTATTTGGACTAGGTTCATAATTTAACATAGACACTTTTTTATCCTTTGTTTTAAAACAGGCATGCTGGGAACAAGAACATCAATATTTAAATGTCATGCTTATTCTGTACAGGAAGAAAAAAGGATTTCTTTACAGCTCTGATGACAATTTTTTTTTTTTAACTTAAGCAGTTCACAGCAGAAAAACAGTTCGGTTTCCAGCAAACTATCTAAAACTAAGGGAATATGGCAAACGAAAAGTGCATTTTACACAGTTTTATCATCATTCCTATTCACAAGCATGTACATCCCTTTGCAGCCCTTTCAGTTTCTAATAAAACAGAAAGCTTCTAATAAAGCAAACAGAAAGACTAGTCCTGTAGGAGAAATCTCCAGTGATATTCGCCCCCCCCCCCACACACATCATGTTACCAGTTCACTACTGCAGCTAACTCATCAAGGGTTGCCCTTGGCTGTCTTCTTATTTGTGGTTTTATTTTATTTTAATTTTATTAAGCAGTAAAATAAATAGCTTAAATGATCTCTAAAGAATCAGAAAAGGTTGCTATACAAATGAACTTTCCCAGCTTTCCCTGCTCTAACCCCCAACTTTCTTCCAACCCACCTAGACAGAAATGGAAAGTAAACGTTGACTTTACAACTGTTACTTGTAAAATGGGCCTAGCCTGCCTCGGGGCACAGACTCAAGTTCACTATTTACATTTTGACTGAAGCTTTGTAAACGATATGGGGTTTATTTGTTTACTGTTTCTCCCCACCCCTCCTCCACTCACTTTAGACAGGTGTCCGGCCCTTGGCTTTCGTACCTAGCCCTTTCTACTTCCAAACACTTAAATGCCCAGTGCTCCTGGCTGGAAAAATGAAAATAATTATAATAATAATAAAACAAAACCCAGAGCCCATAAGCTGGAGACACTGGAGCAAGCCAATGAGCAACTTGGGTGAACTTGCTGGCTGCTGTCCGGGAAGCACTGAGAAGTGGGTGACCGTGGGTAAGGACCGGGGGGTTGGGCTGCGTGGGAGTTCTGGCCTTGGTGGTCCCATCCCTAGCTTCTGGATAAGACATAAACAGAGGTTCGAGACCTCAAGTGGCCTGCCCTGCCGCCTCACAGCTGAAGGCGTCTGGTGGTGGTGAGCCCAGAGTAGGTGCAGGTAGAAGAGTAGAGGGAATCTGCTCAGAGGCGGTTTAGGTTATTTCTGAACTGCTGACTCTGCCAAAAGGGGGACGTCAAGAAGCCTTGGAGGGTTCGGGTTCGGCAGGATGCCTGGGAGTGCCAGACGGGGGCTTCTCTCCTAACCCCACAGTGGGGTAGGGGTTGGGGGATAGATATGGGGGAGTGACCCAACTTCAGCCTTCCCCTCCGGTGGGGGATGGGCCACGAAAATTCCCGCACACCCAGAGGCACCAAGTTTTTGGACTCTCCCAAGTTTTTGTGTTGTTTCCTTTGCAGTCCAAAACAAAGTTCTAGAAGCCCGGGGCCCGGACCAAAGGGAAACGGGAATGGTCGGAGTTTCAACCCTGGCGCAGCTAGCCTGCACTCCGTTGAAATGGGGGTCTTATGTGGCCTGGGGGAAGTTGGGGATAGAGGAAGCAGGTGTGGGGTGGGTGGTGAGAAGACACCTCCGAGAGACTCAGAAACGGGGACTGCGTGGGGCTAGGGAAAAGGGAAGAGAAGCAGGGAGGGGGTAGTGGGGCCCAGCCGCTCCGGGTCAGTGCACGGCCACAGAGTGCAAGGCGGAAGCCGGGCTGGTGAGAGTCTCGCTGGGGGTGGCGGGGCTGCTTTGGCTGGTCGCTGTCTGCGAAGAAGTGGGGCTGAGAGAGGGGGGCGAGTTCGAGAGCAGGGTGGGGATGGGCGCGGGCAAGGCGGGCAGGGCGGGCACAGCGGCCGGCGTGGGCTTGATGGGGACCGGGATGGCGGGCAGTGTCTGCCCTCCGTGGCACAGCGGCTTCAGTGGTACCCCGTAAGCGCTGTAGTCGCCGCTTGCCATGGAGATAGGAGTGGCCGAGTCGATCATGCCCGAGCCGTACATATGGGGCCAGCCAGTGCCCAAGGAACTGCCCATGGTAGTCAACTGGTTCGGGAGAGGATAGGCGGCGGGCACTGGCTGCATGGCGGAGAAAGCCAAGCCCCCGGGCATCTTGTACTCGCGAGCGATGATATTCTCGATGGCGAAAGGGTGCTTAAAGCCCGACGGCTGTGACACTCCGCCCAAGTTGTAGGCGGCCGCGGGCATTTGGGGCAGGTGGGTGCCCGAAGCTGCCAGGGCGCTAAGGCGCAGCTTGGCCTGCTGCTGCAGGTACTGAGCCGCGTCGGCCGGTTTGCTGGGCGCCAAGTGGTCAGACTTGAGCACCTTGAAGCGTTTGCGGCGCCGCAGGAAGCTGCCGTTCTCGAACATGTCGCCGCAGCTAGGGTGCAGCGCCCAGAAGCTGCCCTTGCCGGGCTGGTCTGGCCGCCGCGGTATCTTGATGAAGCAGTCATTGAAAGAAAGGTTGTGGCGCAGGCTATTCTGCCAGCGCTGCGTGTTCTCCCGGTAGTAGGGGAAGCGGTCCATGATGAACTTGTAAATTTCGCTCAGGGGCAGCATCTTCTCTGGGGAGCTCTGAATGGCCATAGCAGTAAGCGAGATGTAAGAGTAAGGCGGCTTCTGGTCGCTGTACGTGTTTCGGCCGGGCCGAGGCATCTTCCTCCTCCTCCTCCTCCTTTTCCTCCTCCTCCTCCTCGCGGGCGGGCTAGCAGGCTGCTTGGATCTGCCAGGGAGGGGAGGGTTGGGGGAGGGGGTAGACGGACAGACACTTCGAGGTCAGCGGGGCCGAGTTATAGGACTACTTGGAGGTGGAAGGGGAAAAAAGGAAAAGAAGCAGGGAAACAGTGAGTATGGGGTAAGAGAAAGAACGGAGGAAGGAGAGAAGAGTACCAACCCCAATTTAACCTAAAGATCTTCTCGGTTAGTCAACCTGACCCGCCCGGGACCGCAAGCTCTCCAAAGTAACTTTACGCGCTGTGCTAGTTGGTGCCCGAACAGCAGCAAGCTGAAGACAGAAATGCGGAAGGAGAACCCGGGAAGGGGGCCCAGGGACTGGGAGGTGAGGAGACAGAGGATTGGAGAGGGGGGACGAAGCCTGGGCAGGACCCACCTTAAAGTTGCTCGAAGTTGGCCGTCCGCATCCGGGATGCTGCCCGCGGGGCGTCTGTTCCCAAAAGCCCAGCAGTACTAGCGCCTTTCCGTTAGGCTCGGCGCTCTGCTCGGCTATGCAGCTGCTCAACCCCTCGGAGCTCCGGAGCCGCCCAGTCCCTGGCGATCTCCGACTCTGCGCCCCCCTCCCGGCGGGCAAGCTCGGCTCCAATGACCACTGGCGGCGGCAGCAACTGCGCCGGGGCTGCAGCTGGAGCTGCTCTCTCCTCTGCCGAGACGCTGAGCTAGGTAGTTGCCTCCATGTCCTTCCTGTAACCATCTGATAGTTTTATGCGGTGACAGGAGCAGAAAAGACCCCTGTAGAGGCGCTTCATTAATGTGCCACTTCTTTGCTATCATATGACAATCGCCTTGGGAGGAGGAGGAGGAGGAAGAGAAGGGGGAGGAGGAACGAAGGGAGGGAGAGGGGGCTGAAGAGGGAGGGGGCTGAAAGAGAGAGAGAGAAGAGAGAGAGGCATAATCTGGTTTCATTTACACCTATTTACATGGACACCTTGGGCCAATAGAAATCATTTCCATTTGAAGACAAGGCGAGGGGTGAAAAGGCTCAACAACCGGAATTGAAGTGGGATGGCACCCCCAGTCTCAGTTCGTGTGAAGGTATGCAACGGCCCTTCTGTGGACTGCGCAGGGAGCTTAGTCTGCGATTCACACTTACAAATGGAGCTACTGAGCAGAGCGATGTTTGACATGGAAATTGCTTGGCTGTGGTATTCTGTTTGTTCTGCATTGTTAACTGATTTGTATTGTTGGCTAACTTAAGGCAGGGCTTTTCCTTAACGAGAGACTTTTCCTTTTGCCCAATCAAACCGCGTTCATGGCTGTTGCAAGGGTGATTATAATGAAAATGCAATACTTTCAGTCCCCACCGAGGCCGGCTGAAGTTTGTATTACCTTCTAAGCTGTTTCCTCTGCCATGCAGAATTTGGTGTGTCGCTTTAAAAAAAAATCTGATGGGGTTTTATAAATTATATAATTGGATTGGACAGCCCTTGATAAGAGACCATTTTGCTTCTAAACGTTTTGGTCAGGTTTAAAAAAAAATTAAGGCAGTGTAACTGTATATTATTTGCCAAACTGTCTGCTTTAAAATTACTCCGGTAATTTGATTTGACACTAGAGTTGTAGATGTCAGTGTAATGCAGATGGTATTCTAACCAGGTGAATTCCTGACTGTTTTCCTATGCTCAACCTCCTGGGAGTTAGGGGTTCCATTTACCTAGTTGTTTCAAGCGTTAGAGGATTTAATCTTTCAGTTTGCATTTTACAGCCGGAACTTTTCTGGGTTTTTCCCTCCCTTATCTGGGAGAGGTTATTTAGGGTCTCCAGGCTACATGAAAATAGAGAGTCCTGGAGAAAGCCATCAGAAGTCTCATAAAACCAGCAGTAGCTTCTGAGACTTGCAAAGAGAGGGGAACAGTTTTGACTTTTCGGAGGGAGGGGGGACGGAGGCGAATGTGAGTGCTCACGGAGATGTTTGGTGTGGAGGTTTCTAGCCTTTATTTGTATCGCTCTCTCAGGGGAATTCAATTATGTATTTTTTAATCCATGTAGAATAAACGCTAAATAAACGCCCCCGCGTGCCCTCTGATTATCTATCTGCATGGTCCCCTGGCATTGCATGACTTTGAGGTTTTAAGAGAAATTTGTCCTTTCCCCTCCTTTAAAGTCCAAACACAATCATTTCTCAAGTGTTTTAGAGAAATGTTGGGAGAGCATATACAAAAATGTTGACATTTTAATCTCAGCAAATTTTCCGATGAGGTGAAAAAACTGATTCTAGCTATCATTAATAAGATATTCTAGACTTAGTAGACACCACACACACACACACACACACACACACACGCACTTACCCCCCCATTAACAACATTTTCGGAGGTGGTCAATAACTCACCAAAACGTAACTTAAACACGATGTATTTAGGAGATTAAACAATTTCATTAATATTGAAATGGCTCCCGGGTCTGAGCTGACTCGTTTGAAATGCAAGCGCACGTTTTTCAATATTAACAGAAGTACTTGAAGGAAAGAATAATGTCACCTTCTTAATTCAGTAAAAATAACCAAGAGAAGGAAAAGACTTGGGGGGGGGGGGACGACGAGAGAGGGAGCAGAGGAAAAGTACCTGATCTATCTACCCATATACAGTTTGATGATACCAGAAAGATGATTCTTCATATGTAGATGAACCACCTAGATATTAGTGAAAACCGAATTTAAGCCACTGTCCCAGGGAGTACTTATTGGAGTCGAGCTCTCATTAGCCTTATAACAAGGTGCAGCGAGTTAAATCGTGGTGATTGGTTCAGATTGCTTTTTCCAGGATGGGAGGCAAAGCCCTTCCCTAGGGATCTGGAAAAGCCAGGTCTAGGGACTAGTGCAAGCACACAGAATTAAAACAAAACAAACAAAAACCCAAAACCGAACCATGGACCTACTTTGCTTCTCCATAAAAAGAAAAAAAAAAAAAAAATCACAGTTCTCAGAAGGAAAGAAAAGCACTGAAGCACATTCTGAAATCGAAACAGGGTTTCACGACCTTTTCCCCCTCTTGTTCAGAACGGGAGTATAGGTAGAGCGGCCTGTTAAGGCACTGGTAAATGCCATTAGCTTCCTTTTAACAACTCAACACACATATACATATGATTATAGATATATAATGAACAAACTATAGCCATGTGATTAGTATCTTTAATTGCCTGTCAAAAATGTTTTTTTTTCTGAAATAGGCAAAAAAGATAGGTGAATGATGGTTCTATTTGGGGGCAAAGGAACAATTAAGTGTGACAAAGATTATCTTTTTACCTCAGTGTGCGTGAGAAAAAGACAGAGACAGAGAAAAGTGTTTTGTTTTTTTAATTTTTAACAACCGGCATTTTATTGTCTTGCAAAGGAGCATGGTGTAGCTATCTAAATCATTACCTAAAGAGAAAATTAAATTCAGAGAGTGGAAATGTTGAAGCATTAAAATGCAAGTTGAAATAAATCTTTTTCCATGTTTCCTGGAAAGTTGCAACCATCAACTTTAGGGCCATTGATAATATAAGTAGGAATCAAGAGTTCTGGAAATAATTTTAAGTTTAGCACACACAGAGAGAAACATACACACACTTTTTACTCATCCATAAACATAATGAAATAAACCCAACTAAACGTGGGGAGGGATTCTCAGATTTAGAACATAGATTTTGCTAAATTGTATCAGATAAATCCTGCTTCTTACTGAAACTAAACAAAGTGTGGGGGGGGGGGGTGTTGAATACAATTTACAACATTTTAAGACCAGTATTATGGAAGAAGGGGAGGGAAATGAACCCTTTCCAGAAAGCTTGAAAAGTGCATCAGTGACTATTGTGCAGAAACTCAAAACAAACAGGAGCTTTTAGGGGATAAATTCAAATAGGAGGCTTGGGGGGGGTATTGGGAAAACTGTATAAAATACACATAAGTCAATTATATCAATGTGCAAACCAAATGGAAATCTATTTCGTGCAATAGCCATTCATCGCTTCCATGAAGCCCACCAAGGACCACCTTTCTGCTTGGAGGGTTCGCAATAGCCTCTTTTCCCACAAGCTGGACCACACACGGTTACAGATTTGGTAATAATTTATGCTAATTTCCCCCCATAAATCCACAATTCGCTTCAGTGGCACCCGGGCTGTTGAGGGAGTAAAAAGGAGACAGAGGGGTGACAAATACAATATTGATTTTTATTCCTTCTGTTTTCAAGCAGGTGCGTGAGTGGAGGGATGGGTGGGGAGGGAGCACTTTCTCATATTAAAAACACCAACAATCACAAGCAAATACCTCTAGTCCCCACATTCTAAGCGAATAACCTTCGCTATCTTGTTAATATTTACAAAACACTGGGGAAGGGGCGGGGGGGGTTGGGGGGGAGAGTAAAGTACCAACTGACTCATTAGGGTTTCCTAGGCTGCAAAAACAATAGTAAGTCTTCCTTTGGAAAGTCAACTCTGCTAAGGCGAAGAGGACTTTTTAGCTAAGCCACGCCTGCCTCCACCCCTCCCCCGTCTGTGTCTCTGTCTTTATTTCTCTTTCTCCCTCTCTCTGTGTCTCTGTCTCTGTCTGCCTTTGCCTGTCTCTGTTTGTCTGTCTCTCTCCCCCTTCCCCCCGCCCTTTCCCTCTCTCGCTGCCTCCTTCCCTCCTCTTTGCACTTTTCTCTCTTATTGGCAGTGAAAAGTTGGGGAAGAAAGAGAGAAGGTACAGAGAGACTATTTTTTGTCTCCTTCAGGCAGGGGTTTACTTTGCTTCTTCCTTCTGTCTGCCCCAATCCCCCACCCCCTCCCGGTCACTTTTTCCCCTCCCTCTTACAGGCCAGATTCTGCGTTTACCAAAGTGATCTTGCTGCCTATGGGAACTAGGGGGAACGCACCAAGGTCTTTGTCCCACCAAGCATTCTTTACCAAATCTGCACTTTGGTGGCGTGAAACTACTTAGCTTTTCTTTCAAAAGGATTTTG